TTCCTCATGGCATCTGCTAGACACCCGTTTTTCAAAACTCTTGTCGACTCGCTACCTCTATTCAATCGTAAATATCTCTTGCCCTACGCAACAGTCATGTTTTCTACTGGATGCATGTACATCTCGACTCAACATTCGCTCTATACTGATCGATATCGTCTTCGTATTCTGGGTGATCAACAACATCGTCTCAGTGGCCGTGTATTGACACCACTGTTCATTCATCATGGCAGCAGTAGCTGGCACTCCGGAGATGCGTTGTTCATTCAACTGGCAGACAAGACTGCCATTGTCTTGGTTCGCCATGGGGCACTCGTTTTGTCTATCCTCTTCCTTTTTATTGTCCTGTTCGGTGCTGTCTGCTTGATTCGCAGGCGATATCAAGCGACCTATCATGCCGATGCTGAAATCATCTTTGACCAATCATTGGAAGTGTCAGACAAGAGGTTATTGTTAAACTGAGAGAGCGGAGAAGTAGGGGTGTAAAAGGCGTATGCTAATCATAAAGTCAAATCAGTTCACTATCACATCGTTCTTGTGTTTTCGCTTTGCTCGTATCCGTAATTGAAAAGAAGAAAAAATATCTCAACAAGAAGAGGACTGATACGGAAAAGGGGACACACACTCGTCCTTCTCTTGTTGTTCATGACCTTTTCTTGCTTTCAGATTGACAAAGATGCTCACTGGAGTAACGTATCAAGAAGTTGTGGTGCCGCGAACGGTGTCTCATCGATCAATTCAATGAGATGGACGAGACACTTCTCTGTAGTAATACCGCCATCAAATGGCTTTCGCGTTCTCGCTGGCGTCTCTACGCTCGATTTCCTGTTGGTCTCGATGGACCTGCAGACGCAAATTTCTAGTCGGCACCATCGTCCTCTTGGTCATCCCTATCGTACTCTATATTCTTCTTGCCTGTCTTTCTCAGAGTCAGGCACTCGTTCCGTCCCAGTTGAGAGGAGCTCGTCGTCTCTTCTTGATCGTTGCTCACCCTGACGATGAGTGTCTCTTCTTTGCACCCACTCTGCATGTTCTCCGACAACAGCACGGCGCTGATCTGAGTCTACTCGTCTTTTCACGCGGCAATAATTCGGGTTTGGGAAAGACTCGCGCACTAGAATTGCTCGGCTCCTGTGCCATATTAGGTATTCCCAATAAACGATGTGTGTCATTAGATTTACCCACCATTCAAGACAATCCAAGCGTCTGGTGGCCTGAACAAGAGCTCATTCCTATTCTTCGTCAATACATTGAGAAATGGTCAATTCATGTTTTAATATCCTTCGACAATCGAGGCATTTCCGGCCATAGCAATCATCGAGCGGTGAGCGCTGCTGTTCGAACATTGGCCAAGAATATCACTACCGCTGCTATCGCGTCCTACGAATTACGATCTGTTTTTCTCCTACGCAAGTACTCATCGTTGCTCGATTTCTATGTGACATTTCTCTCGTTTCTTCCACGTCTACTACGTTCTCTGGCATCGACACTGATCCGGTTCGATCTTGTTTCGTTGCCCGACTCGTCACGTGCTCTGCTCGTTAATTCTCCTAGTGATTACATGGCAGCGCGAGCGGCCTTTGCCAGTCATCACAGTCAGTATAGTTGGGATCGACATATCTACATGATTACCAGTCGTTACATGTTTGTCAATGAGCTGATACGCATCGATCAATAGACAGTGGTTTCTGCCATACATTATAGAATCGTCGTTTTTGTTTTGTCCATTGCCAAATTCTCGAGAAGGAACAAAAATAGTAGGCAGATGGAGTGTTTATTCTTTGTATTGTATTGCCTAATCTGCGACAAGTGCAACTTTCACGAGTGTTGTACGTGGATTAAACGGCGCAGGTGCAATCATGCATCGCAATGTCTTCGGCGTTCTGTTCGCCGTATGGCACGCACGACTCTCAACTTCAAAACGTAGGACGCATCCAAAAAACGGATGAGATCATCGTCGTAACCAGCACCGATCCGCACCGATGCTTGCTACGTGTGTTGATCGTTGGCAATACTCACGCGTGCCGCTCATTCATATACTCTCGCGTACCAATGGGCTTGGTACCGTCCTTTTGAAAATTTTCCTGATTTTTGTCTATTTTCAAAACAAACAATATTTTAAAATTTTTTCACCCAAAACTGACTTTTCATAATCTTAAAGTCACCTTTTCTCTACCCAAGTCGATGTGCTCCATCGAAGCATGCCAAAGAAAACGAAAACAAATTCTGCCATCTTTTTGTATTTCCGACACCTTAACAGTGCCCAGTCTGTGCATTCAAAGTCGCTTTTCACATTAGCATGTAGATTATATTTACTAGTATATCTCGTTTAAGTATGTTTCTCTAAGTAAACTGATGTACGGCGCGACATGATTTTTTCAAACAAATTAATTTTCATCCTGTGTTTTCATACTAATATTTCATTTTGAGAAGTGGCGTCCAGTTGTGCACAAAAACTATCAAAGTCACTTGTATCAATTGATCGATCCCAAGTCTTGATAGTTTCCTTGCGACTAACTACAGATTTATGAATATATCATGTAAAATAAGGATTTCTTCAAGCCAATGTCGAAATAGATGAGGTACAGTTTCGTAAAAATTGTTCCATATGCTTGAGACTAAGCTGTCTACCATTATTATTTATTTTTGGACTGAAAATGAAATAGTATTACTATATACATAAAACAAGAATACATTCAAAAATAACAAGGAAGATGGTTCATTCTTTCAACAAAAAAGTTCATAGCCTGCATTAGATTAGAACGCATGTTTTTGATTGTTTTTGTAATAATACTGGGTTATGGGCATCTTGTTGCTTAGCATTTACTGCCCTATCATTATTCGGTGTCCTCTCAGTTTCACCGTTTATTTTTCCGTTCGTCATTACAAGATTGATATTGTTTGTATTTCCCGTATCTTTAACACGAAGTACTGTGACACTACCTCTATCATCGGTCGTTTGCGTCTTTGGTTCTGCTTTGATGGACGTATTTTTTGCTGACTCTTGTCGTGGATGGATTATATTTGCTTTCATTTCTGATGATTTTGTGTTAGATGTTTTCGAACTTGCTTGTTGTTTTACTTTCGCTTCTTCAGTCTCTTGACATTTCATTTCGTCTAGGACAGCTTGAAAGGAATGCACTAAAAGATTTCCTGAACGATCTTTTTTACTCAATGTAAAATATGTTATTGATTGTGTATAACCATTTAATGTCATTTTACCACGTTCTTGAAATTCATAGAATTTGCGATCAAGTAATTTATAAGTTGCTTCTGTTATGTGAATATGTAACGCCTAAAACAAAACAGAGTTACAAGCATTAGCGATTAAGAAGACAAGATGCTGTTTAATGATACCCAAACTACATAGGTCTTTGTCACTTTCTTACCTTGCTCGTTTGTTCCATTTTGTTTGCTGTTGTAACAGTGTCGCCAAATAAACAATAGCGAGGCATTTTAATTCCAGCTATACCAGCCACCACAGGACCGGAATGACAACCTAAAAGTAAAAAATAGAAAAATTTAGATAGGCAGATTGACAATCATACCAGTGCAATATACCAATGCGAATTTTGAGTTTTTCGTTATTGACAGGATTGAAAACAGTCACAATTGCATCTAACATATCAAATGCCATATCGACTATTTCAGCAGCATGATTTCGTGCGCGCTCCGGCACGCCTGATACTAACATATAAGCATCACCAATAGTCTCAACCTACAATAGGTAACGGATGATATTTTCAAGACTCTTCACCTGCCAGAAATCTCTTTTCAACACAGAAGCCTGACAAAATTTTTACTGGCTGTTAGTCTTACCTAGATTAGATTAGAGTCAACATTTAAATTTGGTGTTTTCTCAGAGTTATGTTAAAAAGTGGATGTTACCACTTCCCAGATTTTTCCATTTCTCTATGATTTAACCGAGCGAGATTTTCGAAACTTTACTTTAGTTATCCTCCTCAACGGTTTCATCTCAAAAGTTCGAAAAATGTTTTGTTCTAGGTTTTTGGAATTCGTCATTTTTCCGTAATTAAGATGAAAAATGTCGACCTTTGTTAATGCATAGCTACAAGTCTTCTCGTCATTTTAAGATTAATCTGAGTTTTTGACAGAGGGATCTTAGTAGCTACTATTTGCCTACCTTATAACAATTGTGTGCTTCTAAACATTTGTCGAATTTTGTGTACATTTCATTTAGAATTGACACAACTTCCATGGGTGTTAACGAGCTACAGATTGTTGTGAATCCTACTACATCGCTGAATAGTATTGTGCAATTATCAAATGTCTAGTAGTAAAGTAAATCATTGAAATTAAATTGTTAAAAGATGAGTAAATTGCCTACTTCGCAAAGATTAGTTGCTTTTTCACCACTTCTTAAACGATTCGCAATCTTTTTCGTCGGATCAATTAAAAAGCTTTTGTTGCTTTTTCTTTATGTTTTTGTTTCATTGGAGACTTGAGTAAAGTTGTTTTATTGAATTGTCTTTTTCAACGGCCTATTTTATGGTGGTGTGAGCATTGAATTTGTTTTTGTTTTACTATCAGCATTTATTTGTTCTAATCTTGTGTTATTTTATATAGTTACGGAAAGATGTCTCGCCAAAAGAGAATATTTAATTGAATGCATGTATTTTTATTATTTGATATTTTTGATGGGTTTTTTATGCTATTTTTACTGTAAATCTGCTATTATCTAAAGGAATAAGTTAGAAAATTGTTGAATAATTCAAAGAGTTTCTCGCGTATAGAATATGTTAAATTATCATCCATTTCGAAATAGAAAGTACTTTGCCGCGTTTGAAGAACGTTTGATAGATAAAAAAGATCTGCGACTTTTACTCAAATGGTGAAGTTTTTTTTATTAAAAAGTCAAACGTAAGGTTTAGAGAAATTCTTTCGAGACGCTAATAGGATCGTTAAAAATTCAATATATTTTGCCTTACCCTTACCTTCTGTACTCCTTCGATTAGAAAACAAAATTCATTTGTTGGTACTGAACACTTTGATATAAGCTTTATTCTGTCAGAATAGAAAAGGACAAGTATTCCGTTATAGTATTCTAACTAAGATTATCGAAAAACACAAACGTCAATTTTGTATGAATAGAGATTCGAACATATAAACTTAGCTTTTCTGAACAATTCCTCCTGAAACTGCCGAGACACAAAATAAGAGGGAAAAACAAACTGAAAGTTCGTTATTTGAAAAAATTTGATTGGAAAACAGACGATAACGCGACGATAGTCCATGGAGAACCGAAATAATGTACATACATCTGTACGATCTTTAATGTACATCTATGCTTTAAGAATGATAATTCATCATATGCATAATTTTTTTAATATTTTCATTATGTATACAAGTAGAAGAAACTATATATTAAGGTTCACATTTGAGTGAAATTACAATGGTTAGTGTGTTGAGTTTTATAGGTGGAAGTAAGTTATTGAAGAAAGAAGCTGTTAATACGAAAAACCAGACGGTTGATAACAAAAAGAACAACTGTTCCATATTGTGATAAAAGTATATTTCTAACCATGTCAGAAGCCAAATGGGCTTCTGGGCTATGAGGAGCCAAAGGAGCTGTGGAGACGCTTTCCTCCTAGGTGAAAGGTGAGTTTAGCGGTGGATGAAGTTAAAATATTGAAAATTATTACCAATACAGGGTGGTTCAGTTAGTCATCTAACGCATGATGTTCTATTTCATCCCAACAACTTTTGAAGAATTTTTCCAACAACTGGATTTTGTAGAGCAAACATTTTTTGCAAGATGAGCTATATCCTTCGTCTTGATTCAATACTTATAAAAAAACGATTTTTCAAAAATCCCGTGACTGATTTTATAACCGATTTAGGGCTCGTGGTCAAGAAGCGAATGCGGCAAATATGAGCACTTCTGGAATGTATGACCGAATCTTGGAACTTAAAATACCGATAGTAGAAACGCAGAATGAATAAGATCGAAAATAAGAATGATGAAAATCTGAAATGTATATTAAGAATAAATTGAAAATTTTATTATTAAAACACAAATTTCCGAGCTATTTATACGGTCATTATCAACTGAATATGGCGTACAGAGCGTTACACTGGAATGCTTTAGGTGTAACGCTCTACTACGACATATTCACTTGATAATGACCATATAAATAGGTTGAATAATAATAAATAAGTGTAAATACTCATGTTTTAATAATAAATTTTTCTATTTATTCTTAATAAACTCTTAATCATGTTAAACCAAGTTAACAGTATTTCAGCCGCAATTGCACTAAAGGTTTTATTTCTATTGTTGCCCTTTAATAATAGTAATTATAGAAAAATGATTGCTCTACAGAATCCAATTGTTAGAAAATTTTGAATATGCGTACTTTTCATGCAATCCGTTTCAGAAAAAGGTGAAATTTATCGGTTATAACTCGTGCATGCTCAGATTTGAATACCTGTTTTCAGATAATTAACTAAACATTTTTTGACTCAATGAGAAAAATTATTATTCACTTACACATTTCTAATACCTAAAGAAATATAGACTGACTGGAGGCTGTCAAAGTTTAAAAACTCTTACCAGTCTGTACCGATATAAAGAGGCTAACATACGACACAAAACTATCAAAGGGCACGTTATGTGACAATTGACTATCTTATTTTCAAAAGTCATCAGTTTTTGGGATTTTTATATTGCTTTCTACTATTGTACAAAATGTTCTGTTTCACATTTCACCCACCGCTATCCTTTCCTTTTCCCCATTCTTCACTTTAATTTTTTTCTTGTTATTCTTTAAACAACCCAATATTATTACATTGCCTAAGGTTTTTCATCTTCTTATCATGGACGATGTAGACTATTTTTCTGTGTATGATATTATCCAAACAACTCATATCATTTTTCATTTTATGTTATGTGACTTCTAGTTCTTATATTATTATAATATGCACGAATATTTTACGAAGTTTGAAGAGGTACATATGTCACTATTTATGTTTTATAATAGTTTATTTAAGTGTAACATGAATAATAAGAAAAAGTAATTAAATATACCAGAAAAAACAAAATAAAAATTCGATAAAAATTGCAGAAGAACGATGCGTATTATTACTGGAAATAGTCATACAAAATTATTTAAAATTTCTCTGGTTCAACTACTAAAGTTACTCTAGACTGTTTTCTGCTAAAAGTATATCATAAATATGGTATGGTGCTAAGAAGAACACTAATCTAACAGTGTTAACTAATGTAATTAACAGACACCTTTTTATATCAGTGTTATATGAGCGTCAATTAAGGATTGAATAACTATACACTTTGTGAAGAAGATCTTATTCATTTATATTGTTAATGTGAGAGTAGATAACATATTTTCAAATTCTTGCTTAATATTACAATTATTACAGAAATACGACTTTTTAGCGATGAATTGTACTCTATAAAAAAAAATGTCATATTCTCAGAAACAGACGAAAAAGGATGTTCGAGTGTTCGGAAATCAGCATGAATTCCGCAGTAATGTTTGTTAGAAACAATTTTTAAGTGTTTCTGAGGATTTCGTAAGGTTTACGCGGGCTTGGAAATGCTTAATGGTTTTCCGAAAATCAAACTATATGAAACGGATACCTATTTGAAACTTTGTAAACCTTTTTATGTATTTCCGAAACTGGTTTGTAAGTTTATTTTGGTTTTTCAGAATTAAGGCGAAATTCATTGTAATTTCCGAACATTCGAAAACTTGTTTTTGTTAATTTCTGAGAATACGCGTTTATTTTTAGAGAGTATTTGCTTTTATATTCAAATCATACATATTACTATTTATTTGAAAACGTAGTGCTCGCTGATATTTATTGCATAACGTTTGTTTGAAACTTGCAAATGAAAATTATAATATTATATTATTAATTACATTTTTTTATGAAGACATATTTTCAGAAAACTATTTTAGAAGTAGGATTTTGTACAGGTCTTTGGGATTTTCACGGTGTGATTTTAATGATAATATCTAAAAAATTAACTTAAAGTATCTTCTAAAAACTAAAGACTCTTTATCCATTATGATTGTGACATAGCATCGACTTTTCTTGGAAGTTCCAGGATCGATGTGAGAGGACCACTTAAAAACAACTAGAACATAGATTATGGAATACACTGAGTTATGTGGCAATGTTTGTTTACATAAAAAACTTTCAAAAAATCTAATGAAAATTTATTTTAGTTTCTTTGCAATACACAACCGAAAACTTCGTTACTCACTTAAAAACCATAAAATGTATTCAACTCTATTTCAGCTTCTACATGATTATGCAATTCAAAGTATGAGATGAAATTATTCATACTTCTGAAGTTTTCTATAAACCACTGTAAAAGAGATCTCAAAGGTTTTCTTCGACTTAAAGACGATGAAGTGTAGCATTTGTAGGCTATACATTTTTCTTATGATACTATTTTGCAAAAACAGCACCCAAGCAACACTAGTTCAATAAACGCTTTTTCTAGATTTTATTTTCATTAATAAACAATGATGTGTGTCTCTTTACTATAACTTTCAAAGTACGTCATCATTTATGACGTAGTTCTTCATATATTACCCGTAAATAAACATTTATGTAGTAAAATGTCTGATATAGTGTAGAATTTTGTTTTCTGAGATTGTAATTTAAACAAAAAAGAAAAAAAAAGAGTTTACTTCAACAATAGACAAAGTACTAATTTAAATTTCATTTTTTTTTTCTATTGAAGATGAACAAGAATAAAAAAATAAAAGTACTGAGTATTTGAACTAAATTTTAATTACACTTCTCACATAATATATTTAAGAATTTCAATGATGATTGCATGTTCAAATGTGATGATATTATTTTAATTTCAACACCAAAGAAAAAATTCAATTTTAATAAATCGATATATGCCGTTTGTTTTACTTCTTTTTTCTTTTTTTTTTTGAAGATATAAAAAAAACTAATATTTTCCTCAAGTGACACTACTTACCTTTATTCAGGGAAGTAAAAAAAAGCTTATGAAATTTATATGTCTAATCATGTTTAAATTATTATACTCGAAGGAGCGAAAGAATGTGTGTCTATTTTTCATTTGAAAATTATTTTTTTATAATATTTACACTTGTCTCAAAAAAAGAAACATATCACCGGAAATTGAATTGAATATAATAAAAACAAGTAGACTAACCATGAAAAAAATAATATATAATTATCTTTTTTATGTAAAACTCAATTCACTATAGATTGAGTTTATTTATTTTCAAGTGAATGTTCAACTTTTTATTTGTTTAACGTTTATAACAAATGAACTACAAACGAAACATTTTTATCATAGATTGACTACAACGTACGTACTAAGATTATGAGAAATATATAAGACCTTAACATTCTTGAGACTATTTCTTTTATACAATTCTAAATCAAACCGAATAATTGTGAAAAGTCAAACACTTTTTACTGTCTGATTGAGATAACATTTGATAATACGTATTTTGCACTATGCTTCATTATGATCTATGTACAAAATATTATTAAATATTTTGAGATCTATTTGCATACACCCTGAATGGAATAGGAATGATTCCATGTTAATTGTAAGATTTGTTATGTCTTTGTCTGTTGAAAAACTAAAATTACGTGAAAGATGTTGAATTCCTCTTGTTTTTTTAAAATGATATGAATATTGATTCATTAGAAGATTATTGTTTGTGTTGAATAAAATTGTGATTTGTTGTTCATCAATCAATTCTCATTAATTTCTCTTAGCTATTATTTTCAAAACAAATTAATTTTGTCAACAAGATCTAGCCATAAAAATCATGTGGATAATTTGGTGTATTTGTCTGGTAGGTTCAGATTAGGTGAAGTATTGATAACTAAGCAATTTTTATCTTGAATGTATTGTTTGTTATTCAGGCATCATGGACTGGTACAATTACTACACAAACAATTCAAACAGGTATAAAATAACTAATACAATAAATACTCAAATTGTTTACTTAAAAAGCTTAATCTATTTGTAGCCAATCTGGTCCAGTGTGCGGGAATTAATCGTCTGTCACGTACTATTAATATTAATCCTGGCAATTACGATCCAAATAATTTAACACCGTCTACTTGTATGCTAGCATGTTCATCAGCTAATTATTTATTTTCGGCTGTTTCATCAGGACGATTTTGTTTTTGTGGAAACATAAATAATAATTTAACTTCGCCTAATACATCATGCAGTGTAATAACATGTTCCGGTGATCCAACGACATTTTGTGGTGATCATGATTATGAACTTATTTATACTGGAGCTAATTACGTAAACGTGAGTGAATTTTCCAATTTATAACTAGAGTACAACATTTTAATTCAATAATCTAGTCCGCTTCAATTCAACTAAATGGAAGTATGGGAAGTTTACAAGTAGATCAACAGTATCAATTCAGTGTTTCATATCAAGGATTTGTTAGTACTATCTATTATCAAGTGATGTTTGGCGATGGTGGTACAACTGCTTGGATTTCGGGGAATATCAATGCAACAGAAATATTTCAACATACCTATTTAATGACTGGTCAGTTTCTTGTCACTGTTTTTGCTCGATCTGCAGTCAATTCACCAGTAAGATACATTTTATACAGTACTTTATGAAAAATATCCAGAACTGTTATCACTTTTTAAGATTGTTCAAAGTACAATATCGGTGACTGTTGTTGATCAAGTAACAGAAATGGATGTATCGTTTACGTGTCCGAATAGTTCATTATCTAATCAACCTGTTTATTGCCAATTAACAACTGTTCGTGGAATGGGAATGATTGCTACGTTCTATTATAACGATACGAGTGTTTTACGAACTATTGCAAATATACCAGGTAAGTTAAAGGAAATATTCTTGTAGTTAAAGTGCATTCTAATCGGTTTTAGATACACAATATTTCTCGTACGGTTTACCTGTTACAAGATATCCTCCACTGGACTCAACGCCCCTTGTAGGAATTGCTGCAACCGATATAATCTTGTTATCACAGAGTGTGGTGACAACAGCTGGACGATTAGTATCTATGCAATTCTATGCCGTTTCATCTGGAACTGTGACAATTTATGTAAGTTTTCTGTTTACGGTTACAATGTATGTATTTACCACGTCAAATTGTCTAATTAAAGCTATTACGACCTAATTGTGGTGCGAGTCAACCGTATGGTTATGATTCTAATGCATGTGGCAATTACTCAGAACCCATGATGTTTCGATGTAGTAATGGTACATATTCATCAATACGTCAATCTTGTTTAGCTGGTTGTCAAACACGTCAACAACGAACACAACTATCAAAATATAACATTTCGTACAATGTAGTCTTAACTCTAAATATTCCAAGTGTTAATGGTTCAAATCAATATTTATTAAACACGGCAAGCACAATGAATAAAACAGTGTTAGTCGGAGACATATTTGGCTTTTTAGCCAATTCAGCAGTACCTCTCATTGGTAAACAAATTTTAACCGATAATACTCAAGATTATAAATGTACACCAACGTGGACTATACCAAGTCAACAATTTAATTGTACATCCAATTATTTAGACGTAAACATTACCTATCGCTTTATGTTACAAGCAGTTGTTGTTCGAGCGATAATTATGGCACCGATAAATACTTACATGACAGCGGGAAATTATACGATACGAGCTAGTTTATCCCAAGGAGGATCAATATTTAATCGAACATCCATATTGCCAATAGTACTAGGGATACAATGGGTATTTGTCAATGGCCCATTACATGGGAATACTAATGTACCTGAAACATTTACGATCACCTACCTGCCTCAAGGTATGTATCTTTGCATTCCATGATCAATAGACGGCGTAAGAAGCTAACAGCCTTTTTTTCTACTTAAAGATGCTACACCTCCAACGTACTCATGGTCAGTTAATAGCCAAAATTTTACAACATCGAACAATACAATAGTTTATTCATTTGTCAATTTTGGTATATATACAATTACGGGTTGTGCACTAAGTCTCGGATCGATTCATTGTAATAGCACTCAAATAACCATAGAAGATAGGATAAACAATTTAACGTTACGTGCCAGTAATATGTCAGTATCAGCATCTACGCCATTACAACAAGCGAATTTTACGTTATTGATGGAATCTGGCTCAAACTATGTATGTGAAGTTAATTACGACCAAACATCTTACTCGGCAAGTTTTACCTATCAATATGCATTTGGTTATGTACCCGGTTCAATTATTACCTATCGTTATCTACAAGTGGGAATATACAATGTGTCAATTTATTGTGTAAATAATATTAGCTCACAGACATTTAGTCTTACCCATTATGTTCAATTACCCATTGGTGGATTACAGTTACAACAATATGGTGCAATTAAAAATTTGAATTACATAATTAATATTACAATAGAACAAGGAACAAGTCCAACATTTATTATTGTTCTAAATGGAACACGGTTGAGCTATGTCTACAATCCGTCAAATGGTCTTGCTCAAACACAACAACTTACTGGACAGTCATCGGGAAATTATTCAATTATGGTTAATGCATATAATTATCTATCAAATGTGACATACATTGGTGTGTTTTCCATCGATACGCCAATTCAAAATCCTCAGGTGTTTGCATCCAGCTATAGCATAATGTTTCCTGGTCCAGTTAATTTCACATATACGATGGATTCGGGTAGCAATATTGATGTCAGTTTTTATTATGGTGATGAGCAGTTAGACGTCACCTCGATAACCACAACATGTACCCATCCTGGCGATTATCCGTCTGGTAGACCATTAAGTCAATGCAGTCCAAATTCTCATACTTTCAAGATACCAGGCAATATCACGGTGATAACAAAATTTTCTAATTCATTAAGTACAATTTATCGATATACTACTGTTGTGGTTACAACATCTGTTAATCCAATTCAAATTATGACTAGTGTTGGATCAGTTGTTACTAATTCATGTATCGCATCCTATATAAATAATTTAGCTGTGGCCAATTTTATTATTCAGAGCCAAGATTTAACATCAAAACCAGCATCGAACGCTCAAGTCATTATTACACCAGATGCGACAAAACCAAATCAAACACAAGGTCCCTATGTATTAACAATGGATTACTATTCAACACCAACACGTAGTATAAGCGGTTTAACAGTTTTGTATTCAAAATTAGACAATTATACAGCATTGTTCCAAGTTACTAATAACTATGATTCCGTTGTTATCAATTGTACTGTGCAGGTTGTATCCATTTTACAAGATGTTTATTATGCTATAACATCGACTAATTGGCCGTTGACTTCTGCTATACCATTTAATGCATCAGTTTACATTGGTGATATAAATCCAGGACCTATTACACTTACATGGAATTTTGGTGATGGCACGCCGTTAATAAGTCGAAGTAGAATAGGTATGAACAGACACATTCATCAAGATGAAACTATTATCCATTTCAAATTAAAAGACAGACGATTGATTTTGGAATAACTCGAGACAGAAAAGAGATAAAGACTTGAAATCTTCGCTATTCGATAGCCAAGACTTATGCTTATACTAATGCGTCTTTCCATAACCCAAAAGTATTTTAAAAATTCTTTCAAAAACCAGTTTTATAGGGGATCACTGAAAAATCGTTTCATAAGTGAAAAGTACAGCAATATACTGGTTTTTTCATGAGCAAATGGTCGAAAGTGTCTTTTCAGAATGGAAGTCAAGCGAAACCTTGATTTTTTGATGCGTTCGTGATCTGGAGTTTCTTGGAAAACCTTGAATCCCATTCTGAAGAGGGCACTTTCAGCTATCTGCTCAAGAAAAAAAAACAGTATATTGGTGTATTAGATTTTTCAGTTATGAAACGATTTCCCAGTGATCCTCCCTATAAAATCGGTTTTTAAGAGGTTTTATCAAATTCTTTTTTGTTGATAATCGTCTTCACTCCTGTAATCATTATTGTTTGTTATTCAAAGCCACTCAATTTTATCAAGCTGATACAGAAGTACATTTTTATACTGCTGTTGGCTCCTATATGATGACAATAACAGCAGCTAATAATATAAACAGTATTTCAAATTCTTTTCAAGTCTATGTTCAATATGCAGTTCAAACTTTTACAGTTAACATACCAAATATTATTTTCAGTCACAGTAAGTGATGAATATTTATTATTCAAAAGGTTCAAAAATCAAATATTTTTTTATTAAAATGAAGGTCCTGCAACACTTAATTTTTTCGTACAAGATACAAGTACGCCAAGTGCTTCAATACCTTTTGTATTAATTGATTTTAATGATACTGCAACTTCATCAATTGTAAATGTTAGCCTTCCATACACTGGTTCCTATACTTATAATTCATTTGGAATATTTTATGTGAACTTTACCGTGTATAATCGAATTTCAAGTGTGACACAGATAACTAAGGTTAGTATTTTTTCATAATTTGAGATAATTACTCTATTATTCTCCTAAGTGTTTCGTAGGTTTCGGTCAATGCTCCATTTACTAATTTTGGAATAACAATTTGTTATTTATTACCCACGAGAACGAGTTCATTAGAAGATATATGTAGTCTTGTCAAACGCGGTGGTCAATCCATTGTACCAAAACAAAGTCAATTGGTTATTTATGCAACATGGTCAAATATAAGTAATTATTTGTAATCACTGCATAGATATGATTATACTATTGCTACATTATTGAAAAATTCTGCATTTTCCTTTTCTCTCTCACTTTCAGCTGGTATACCAGATACATTTACGCTAATATTTAGTAATACATCATCGTATACTTATACACAAATTTATTCCATCAATCAAGTTACAAATATGTTCAGTATTGTTGGTACTAATTTAGGATCGCCGTTATATCGGATTCTATACGATTTGGAAACTAATATGAATACAATGGTAAGTGTTTTTCTGTAATTTGTATATACGCACCGTAAGCATTCAGACGAATATTTAGCGAAAAAATGAAGTGCTCTTTTTCTAGTTTTTTCTACATGTAATCAAGTACAAATTCTGAGAACAAAATTTATTCCATATGATAAACTTCCTAATTTTTCATAGCGTTTAATTGAGTTCAAACATTGAAAAAATTTTGTTTTGTATATAACACATTTCTAAAATTAGTGCCCATTACCACCATCTCTTCTGACCTGTACAGCAGGATTTTCAAACGGCGTTGTTTTTTCACGGAAAAATCCCATTGTTTTTGTCTAAAAGGCATTTTAAACCAAAACAACTATCATATTTAGAATTAGCATTAAAAACTGCATCGAATGTTATAGTTCTCAAACATTTTCGAAGATATTTTTTTCCGATGCAAAAATTTCACCTGGGGCAACGTCGCGCATTTTTGATCAAACAAAAACATTTTAAGAATAAGATTTTTCTTGTGAGAATACTATTTTCAAGTATAGCGAGTCAAAACCAATCACTTCCAATGATAAAACACTTGATGTCCACCTCCCTAATGAGAGATGCCCATTGTGCTGCGTTATCATAACGAAATTGCATTTGGCGATAGGACGATATATACACGATAACAGTTCAAGTGTCCAATCCATCTTACTCATCCGTAGCATCAACATCTATTCAAGTGATGTCAGCTGTTGGCGGTATGTCAATAAGTGATCGAAATGTTATGAATAGTATAAATACACAAAAAATGTTTTATACTTTTTATACAAATTTTACACAATATTCATGTTTATATATTCGATATTCTGATTCAACACGTGAATGTTATGGTGATCCACTCTCATGTTCTACATTGCCATCGGATGAACCAACTCTTAGTCCGTGTCTTACTACGCTACCATTTAGTTATACTACACCTCCTACAACAGTGACATTTTCAAGAGCATTCAATCAATCACAAGGATTTGTACACGGTTTCGCATGGAATCAGGCGACAACAGCTACACAAGAAATCTATTTTTCATTTCCCATTACTATTGATAATTGTAATTTACCCTATATTACATTTGATACTTATAATCCTATTCTCCGTTGGGCCCGTCAAGTTCTTCTCAGTAAACAGTTTTCAGTTAGTGCTTACACATCATTAAATTGTTCAATGTCATTGTACAATACAAAACAATGGACAATAGCACAATGTGATACAACAAGTCAATTGTGCACTAGAACAAAAACATTAGACAATATTATTAACGGATTGTCGTCGTCAAAAACAGCAGAAATCTCCATTCCAGCTCAAACACTTCCGTATGGTTCATATCAGTTTAATTACACCGTTTATATGAATTTAAAACAAACATTTTTATCCTACGCAACAACGTATATCGAGGTTATTCAATCAAGTATTGTTGTAAGTTAATGTTCTTTCTTCGCTTTGTACTATATATTAAACGTACTCATTTCTTTTAGGTAAACATGTTACCAAACGGTACATCATCTATCACTCGAGGCATGTCACAAAATCTTGATTTGGAACCTGGTATCTGGTCGATCGATCCAGATTCAACGTCTTTTGCTCGTTATGTAAGTTTACATTTATGCATCATCGTGCTATATATGACAATTGAATTAAATTATTTCTAGAATTGGTCTTATAATTATTATTGTCGTATTTATGGTCAATCGGCTTATCCTAATTTAAACGGATTACAATTTACGATAGACGATATAAGAATTGATGCAAATAACCCATCTTGTTTTGCGGATGACGGTACGTTATTTCTATAGTTGGTTTTACTGATAATTAGTTTGATAGTATTTATTTTAAGGTAATCAAACAACGTATAAATATGGCCCAGATAATGACAAATCTATAGTGTCCATAAATGCTGGTGTATTACAGCCAGGTCAAACATATGAATTCACAGCAACTTTAACCAATATCTATAATTCTGCTTTACAATATAGTGGTTACGTATTAGTTTATATTCAAGATATCAATTCTGTTTCCGTATCTGTATCGTAAGTAAATGCATACATTTAATTGTATGTTGTTTAGTAACATGAGAAACAATATTTTATTCAGATGTATTATTAAAATGTGTACACCTAATGCTGAATATCAACGAATTAATCCTACAACACAAGTAATTCTCGCTTCAACTTGTGAAGATGATTGTGTTATTGCAGAAAATGTCGAAATATTATGGAGTGTTTATCAAGGTTTCGTTACTAATTATCCAAATACAGACGTTCAATGGGTGCTATACCCAAATCTGACACAATATCTCGGAACATGGTTTTATGGTAAGAATATATCATTAGACTATAAGAATAAAAATCATTTGAAATATATATTTTAGGCGTAGATTCGACAAATTTTACAGCTACAAATGCTTTGTTCACGAATAATCCAAATATTCTCTATTGGCGTTTTCAATCAATGTATATTGTAACTGATAAAAACGGTGTATCAACTGGGTCTGGATCAGTTCGGTTTTTAATCAATACTCCACCAACTAACGGAACATGTTCAATTGATTTAACAAACGGAACTACGAGCACAGTTTTTACCTTGACTTGTTTAGGCTGGATCGATACAGATGGGATACAAGATTATACATTTTACAGTAACCAATATCTTAAAATGTATATATAATTATGATAATTACAATCAAATATCTTTATTTTAGCATGGACAACAGATAATATAAGTCGAACAACAATTGGTTTTACTACAAAAACAAGTTTACAAGTTCGGTTACCAATGGGTAATCCTACATTAAATTTGATAGCTCAGATACGCGATACAAATGGTGCGATTACACAATATTCAATAGCTCAAGTTACGGTAAGCAAATACTTGAAGTCTTAACAATGTTTTTTTACTTTATACTTGTTCAATTCATATCTATGGTCTTTGTTATCTTTTTCACTATTTTTTTGAAGGTGATAGCAGATAATGTAACATTGATAGATTTTCTACAGCGCGTTCAAGATACTGGAATACTTAGTACTGGTAATGCACCCTTTGAAAAGTTGTTATTTTCTGGAGATCAAAATACAGTTAGTCAAGTTTTATTATCAATGTCACAAATGTTAAATGCTATGAGTGACGCTAATGAACAACTGGCGATGATAGGTAGAAGAGAATTTTACTGTTATACATCGAAAAATATTTTACTTTTAATATTTAATATTAGATATACCGGCGGCGGGCATTACAGTCTCTCAACTTGGTGCATCAGCAGTTTCAGTAAGCTTCCTCTTCTTACTTATTGAACATGAAATAGTATAATATTTTTTGCATTTAAGCAAAATCTGTCAAATATGGCAAACACGACGGTGGCCATGGCTAATTACAGTATAAATTTGAATTTACGTGCTAACGCACGTGATTATATCATGCAATTTATCACTAATCTAACTATAACTAATGTCGATAGTATTCAACTTCAAGCAGCAATGATAAGTGGTCTAACCAAATCAACAGCCGAATTAACTCGAGAAGCATCGACTCTGGCTTCGAATAAATGTCAACTATTGTCATCTGCTTTGAATGAAATGGTACAAACCATTTCAGCGGAAGATGCTTTAATTGCATGCAATGGTGTTTCAGTATGTACAAGTAATACTATCACGGTAAGTATACCTATAACTAATTCTAACAATTTCATTATATCTTGTCAATTTATGAGTGATGCTGGAAATTTTATAATTGCTTAAATAGGGTATCAATGCACCACTACTGCAACGTGCTTTAGTATTGGATCTTGATTACGAACGAGCAAATATGTTGCCTCTCGATTATGAAACAGATCTGGAAACCGTATGGTCAAATCCTAGTATGCTTCTACTTCTTTTTTGTTTTTTAAAAAAACTTCTTCAATTAATATTTTTTGTTTGATAGATTTATTTGCAGAAGGTGATGACTTTTCCTGGGAAACTATACAGAAAAATCGTAACATATATTATCAACAGCAAACGGTATGTGTATGTGTGTGTGTATTAAAATTTGTTGTTTTCTATATGAAAAATAACATTTTCTGTGCAATTTTATTTAGTCAGTTGCTGTCTCATCACAAGCAGATAATTCTCTATCCATGATTACGAATGTTTTGAGCTATCACATAAATATTGGTCAAAATACTGTTATTAATGCATCGGCTATATCTATCTCATTACAAAAAACGAAATCGAGTGAATTGACAAATATTACAATATCGCAATCAGATGAGGCAAGAGTTACTCTACCATCAATTAATTTTTGTCAGACAATGACACAAGTGCAAAATTGTACAGATAACACTCCAATTACGCTTAATGTAAGTTGGTATTCTTAATAGTGAACAATTATAGCATTTCAATAATTATTATTTTAGTCTATAATGATGCCTTTAGCAGCAGCCGGTCAGAATGGACGTTCAGTTGCTAATATAAATCTTTCAACGAGTGTTTCACTAACATTTTTGGATGCAACAGGCACAACAATATCAATAACAAATTTGAGTGCACTAATTGAAATAATCGTTCCACGTGAAAAAAATTTAAGTCCACCTCCGATGACGTATCAAAATGTGACGAATGTAATCGCATCACACATATCATCATCAAATAATAATAAACAGTTTTTTATTCATTATATCAATATAACCCCAACGAACATAAATCTAACATTATCTATAAGTTTTGAAATGAAACCAGTTAATCTAAATCTTGGCTATATGTTAATAATGAAATTTGATGGTATACCAATGTTAAATAGTACAAAAAATATGACTGATGGTTGGGAAGTATTATGTCCGACAAGTATACGCGTTACTATCTTTCTATTAGTAGAAGTTATCTCTATAAATTTGTTTAGATCTTATATCAACAACAGATGGACCTATTTACAGTTACTTTGTAAATAATATACAAACAAAAAATTATCTATCGGCTTTTTTCGGTGTTAGAGAATTGAATAATTCCGAATTAGAAACATATTGCCCAACAAATGGAAGTGCTATACCAACTGGTCCCCCAATTAACGATCAAGCAGCTAATTTCTCATCAAATTATGAATTACGTCTATACACATCGGGATGTTACTACCTTGATAATAATTTAAATTGGCAATCATCTGGACTTGTGGTAGGCTGAGAGTAATATGTTTCAAAATAATTCTTTATTACTATACTAAACCTATTTAGGTTGGTCCGCAAACAAGTCATGTACTAACTCAGTGTTACTCAAGTCATTTAACCACATTTGCTGGTGGATGGGTAGTGTTACCAGCACCTATTAACTGGAATTATGTATTTGCAAATGCTGATTTTTCAAGAAATAAAACCATCTATTTAACCGTTATTCTAACTGCAGTTTTATATCTCATAATTGTATTCTATGCACGATATAAGGACAAAAAAGATCTGGAAAAAGTATGTCATAGTACATAGTACAGTTGACTATTTACTTAAAAATCTAATTTCTTTTAGTTAGGTGTTACGCCATTACCAGATAATCTTGTTGCTGATACATATTATTATCAAATTATTGTATTCACAGGATTAAGAAAAGATGCTGGAACGAAATCAAAAGTAGATGAAATAGATTATTTTATTTGAAATATCAAAAAAATTATTGTAATTGTTATTTAGGTACACTTTATAATATCTGGCGATGATGATGAGACAGGTGTTCGGACATTGGAAGATCCACATCGTAGAGTATTTCGACGTGGTGGGGTTGATGCTTTTGTGATGTCTGTTCCAAAGTAACTAATTATTTTTTTTCATTATATAAACATAAACTTAAATCATTTTTTTGTTTTGAATAGATCATTGGGTCAATTAAATTATATTCGCATTTGGCATGATAATACGGGTAAAGGTGCATCGGCATCATGGTTTTTGAAATACATTGTTGTACGTGATCTTCAAACAATGGAAAAATATCATTTCATTAGTCAACAATGGCTTGCTGTGGAAAAAGATGATGGATCGGTAAAAAAATAATCATAATAAATGATATTATGATAATTAACGAATGTTGTTCGTTTATTTTAAAGGTTGATCGTCTACTTCCGATAGCCGGTGAAGCACAAAAATCAGAATTTGCATATTTAATGTCGAAAAAGACATATAATAGTATGAGTGATGGTCATTTATGGTTCAGCGTATTTTCTCGTCCACCATCGACACGATTTACACGTGCCCAACGTTGTACATGTTGCTTTGTTCTACTATTTATGTCCATGTTAATGAACATTATGTACTATGATCAAACACAAGAATCGAAAAAAACGACAAGCGGTGGTCTGTCTATTGGACCATTTTATGTTACACCTCAACAGGTATTTTAAAGAACAAAACGAATGAAAATGTTTTAAAATGAGTCTAATTTAGATTGGAATCGGTGTTATCGTGGAATTAATCTGTTTTATACCAAGTACATTACTTGTCGAATTATTTCGACGATCAAGACGACGAAAGAAACGACCATCGCCCACTATTGAAGCAATCAAAAAAATACAACATCAACAGCCACAACGGCATGCGGGTTTGACAGATGTTCAACCACATATGACAAAGTAAAATATTTATTTCTAAAATAGTTAATTGAAATATCAATTTTATGTACTTACAGTTATATTGTCAATCCAAATCCATCACTTTCCACAAGAGACCTTGATACAATGCGTACAAATCTTGCATCACCATTGCCTACAACTACCAATATAAAACAACAATATGGAGTACGCAGAACGAACGGAAAACGAACATTTCCATGGTGGTGTATAATAATTGCCTATTCCATTTCATTTATTCTTGTATGTATATCAGCAGTATTTATTATTGCACGTGGAATCGAATTTGGTGATTTAAAAACACAAAAATGGTTAACATCATTAATATCAGGTACTATATCAGTAATAATCCATTAAATATAAATATTGATAAAAATTATTGGTTATTTTAGGATTTTTTACATCTATACTGTTGACTCAACCAATCAAAGCAAGTATTTAACATTATTTTCTTGTTGTTAGAAAGCATATATCGTTTATTTAGGTTGTACTTTTTGCAATATTCTTTGCACTAATTATTCGGAAAGATGATGATGAACTCCACATTGAAGATGAAGAAGACATATATTTGGAAGATGATGAAGAATATATGCATATGGTATGTATGAAAATAATGGGTATTAAATTTTAACATCCTTATATTTGTCATTATTAGGATCTATCATTACTTAGTATTCGTTCGAAAGTCGGTTATGTGCCATTAAATGAAGCTGAAATAATGGAAGCAAGAGAAAAACGTTTGAAAGATATAAAAATGTGGGATATTATTTGTGAAATAATTGCCTATGGCTCATTTTTATGGACATTGTATGTAGTTAGTTATTCAAATCGTGATCCAAATGCAAATCTTATTGTTCAACATTTAAGAAACTATTTTCTAAATGTCGATGTGCCTCTTGTTGATTATACAAATGTAGATATTATATGCGCATGTAATAAGGTTTTTTGTCTTTTGTAATGTCTATTTAGATGTTTCAAATAGAACAATTTTGGTATTGGTTAAATCAAAGTTTTGTGCCAAATATCCGCGCTCAAGCATGGTATAATGGTGACCAACCATCAAATTTAAGTGGATACATAAACGATAAAACAAATCGAATGATTGGATGGGCAACAATGCGACAATTACGGGTTAAACCAGGTAATAGAGAGTCAAATATTTAATAGAGTATATAATTGAGCTTTTCAACGTCTTTAGATTTGTGTACTATAAAGGAAGTATTTCGAAATATAATTAATATTTGTGAAGTGGAGTACAGTGTGTTTGCAGAAGATCATCGAAATTTTCAACCTGGTTGGTCGCTCAATGATACAAAAGAAGTTGATTATAGGTCAACAATTCTCGATGCCTTCACTTATCGTACAGGTTCAGAATTAGACAGTTATGGTTATGCTGGAGATCATGCAACGTGTAAGTTTTATAGCTGAAGTAATTAGAGTTATTTGATTAACATTTATGGATAATGTTATATCTTGAATATTTTAGATTCTGGTGGCGGTTATATGTATGAATTTCGCGGGCGAATGATTGATATTATACAAAATATTACAATGTTAAGAGATTTATCATGGATCGATGATAAAACACGTGCAGTTTTTATCCAATTGAATATGTATAATCCAAATGTGAATATATTTACATTTGTGACATTTGTATTAGAATTCTTGCCAACCGGTGGTGTTTTTACCGAAGCACGTTTTGAACCATTGAGTTTTCTAGAATTCACAGATGGTAAATATTAAATTTTTATTTTAAGCAACGTTAATTTTTATTCTTCTTTTATTTAATGAAGGTTCTGCATTATTCAAATTGATATGTTCAATATTGTATATGGTATTTATTATTTATTACATGACGCATGAAATACGCTTATTAATTAAAATGAAAAGAGCTTATTTCAAGGATTTTTGGTCATATACCGAATGGGGAATAATTACATGTTCATGGGGTGGATTTGGTATGTATTTATGGCGTCTTTATGAAGGAAATCGTATTAGTACATTATTTGCCAAAACAAATGGTTATACCTATATAAATTTACAAGTAGCAAGTTATTTGAATGATGTACTCACATTTTTATTAGGTTTTTGCTGTTTTTTTGGTACACTAAAATTTTTACGCCTATTAAGATTTAATCGTCGTATGTCTATATTGGCAATAACATTACAAGAGGCAGCTCGTGATCTATTATCATTTGGATTGGTATTTTCCATTGTATTTATGGGATTTTTATGTTTATTTTATCTCATATTTGTGACAGAATTACTGGAATGTTCTGATTTATTAAAAACAGCACAAATGTGTTTTGAAATGATGTTATTAAAATTTAATGTATCAGATTTGATGAGCGCTGAACCAGTGTTGGGACCATTGTGTTTCTCATTATTTATCGTATTTGTTGTTTTCATATGTATGAATATGTTTATATCAATAATTAATGAATATTTTAAACGAGTAAGAAATGATCTTTCAAAACAAAATAATGAATATGAAATGATAGCATTTATGATTAATAAATTTAAAAAATGGTCAGGTAAATTATTCAAGGATAACTAATAAATATAAAAAGATTGTACAAGATTTTATAATTCATTTTTAGGTATTGGTCGTTCAAAACAAATTGCACAATTACATATAAATCCATTTGATGGTACCCGAGTCCATTACCGCGATCAAATATCCTATTTTCCGGAAAAAATTGATGAATTATTAATTGCATTAAATAGAGTAAGTATGTCTAAATTACAAAATGTGTGTAGCTAACCTTTGCTTCTATGCTTTATTGATGAATTTTTAGATCTATATTGAGAATAAAAAAAACGATCCAATAGCCTGTACCGGAAAAAATCAACTGAAAAAACAGGCGCTGTTATTACCTATTGCTGAAAATCAAATGGTGAAAAAACGTAAATAAATTTATTTCTAATAGATACAGAATGAATTTAATTTATAATTTATCATTAATCGTTTTTTATTGTACTTCACATACGTCGTTGCAGATTTTTCGCTATTTTATTCGAGAATTTTTTAGTTGTGATATTGTCAGAACCAGTGATTCCGTTATGGTGAAGATTAACCGGTTAAAAATAAAGCGAATTATTATATAGTAGATCATTTTGTTTAATAAAGCAGATTACGTAGTGTAATACTCACAAGGCACATATGGATTCTTTGACAGTTATACCCAGAACACATTGCTTGTGATGATAAGACATACCGTTGAAGAGTAAAAAACTAGCAATTTGAAATTCTTTCTTTAGCTAGAATAAACACTAAAACAGCACAACTTTTCCTTTTTCTTTCTGTAAAAAATGGCTAATTATGACTAATTTCCATACAGCAATTTAGATACGTAGGCAGAATTTTGATAAATGATGAACATCTAGAAAAAATCTATCTTCACTAGTTTGAATACCATTTGGGGCTTATATGAAACGTACATTTTTTCTTGACCTTCATCTCCCGCTCTCTACATGATCGTGTTCCTCTGAATTATATTACCTAAAGTCTTGTTCTAAGTTACCGTAGTAGAGAACAAGAAGAAGAAAAAAAGTTTTTCTCAAAAGAGAAAACTCTATGAATATTGCTGAAAAATGGTACAATTACAGAAAATTAGCTCTGTTCGAATCATCAGTGGCAGGGCGAAAAATCTTTTGAGAACCGAATATTCTTGAACATGGATTTTATTCATTTGTTTTTCCAAAACTGAGATTATCAGTTTCAGAAACAGAATTTCTGAATCAAGAGTCTAAATAATTGTATATTGAAAGAGACCGCTGTGTGCTTATCGAGTGTTCTCATCCCAAAAAGATGAGATTAGTGAACTTCTAAACCCATCGGATCAAAATTTTGTTCCTCAATCCGTACTGCAGTCTGTAACAAATGATCATACCGTTTCATCAAAAAATATTTTATGAAAAAATTATTGGATTATTTTGTTTTGCTTATCCAAGAAAAAACTGCCTGATACTCTCCTGTTCTTCTCCTGATTTGAAAAAACTCTCCTCATTTTCCTCCTGATTTTTTACGAAAAACTCCAGATTTCGAAAAATGGGATTTAGGCACCCTTTAGATAACTCACGATTAAGGTAAACGTTCTATAGATTTTCTTCTCATACTCGTGCCGTTCAATAACGCTCTCAAACTCAAAGTACGTTGACAATCTTGATTATCGGAAGAAAAACTAGATGCCAACAGCGTATTGCGAAGACTGGAAGCCGACTGACAAGGGAAGGCCACCAACTGTCCCACCGCTTTTAGGCCGAAACTTAGTGGACAATAGGTAATCGAGCCTGCTGATTCCGAATATGGCCATAGGAGTTCCCCAAAGCCCTTCGAGGATCCGGTTTTTTTAACAAGGCATTCTTGTAGCCCGCAAATTTCTGATTAAAATGAGACATCTCCCAGCTCTACATGACCGCAAACTGATACTTGTCACGTGCTGATTATCTCATATTAGAAAAATTTCTCAAGTCTCAAACATCAACGGTTTTCTGGAGATCTTCTCTCGCAGCAAGAGCTGGAAAGTTAAAATTTTTTTGTTTTTTGTTTTGAACTTGCTAAACTATGCACTTCAAATGTACGAGGTTGCCAAAATTATATCTCAATAACTTATGGTTTTCTAGGAGTTTTCTAGAAACCCCCTAAAGGTTTTGCAACTGTCAAAATAAATATAGGAGTTAACATTAAACTTTTTTCATAGATATATAATCCGAAGTGTCCTCTACAAAACTGGATCTAAGTGACGTCTTAGAAATCCGTGATTCGGGAGCTACAGACATTTTTCCTGAAGCCTTAGCAATCCTCTGCCGTCTGGTTTGGGACTGTCAGAAATGAATGAAAACATAGATTATCGGCTATGCTGAATCTCATGGCAATGTTAGTTTTCAGAACAAAATGCAACAACCGAGTGAAAACCTATATTAGTTGAAATAACCCAATTTTCCTTGTTGAGTAAAATTAAAAAATTTATAACCCAGTCACAGTTCATCCAAATTATGTCAGAATATCAAAATGTACTCTATTTTACCTGTTCAATACTATGCAGTTCAATAAAAGCTTTACAAATCAACAGAAAAGACTTCGGTTTTTGAAAAGGTTTTCTAGAAATCTTCCGTTCTACAAGAGTGTTTCTTACTATTCTCCATTAAATAATCGTACTGGGCAGGTAAAATAGATTATATCTTGATATTCTGACATCATTTGAATGAACTGTAACTGGCTCATAAATTTTTTAATTTTACTCAAAAACAGGGACAATTGGGTTATTTCAACTAATATAGGTTTTCACCAGGTTTTTGAAGTTTATTTGAAAAACAAATGTTGCCACGAGATTCAGTGTGGTTTATTCCATATATTTCCATTCATTTTCGGAATTACCATCTAAAGAGATATCAATCTAAGGACTCTCAGGAAATCCGATGCCAGACCTGAACCAGGAAAAATTAAGAGTTCGCTTAGTTCTCATTTTGGAGAAGATACATTGGACTATCTACATATAGAAAAAAATAGATAGATTCCTATCTCAGTTTCCAGATATTCCGACTGGTTTTCCAAAGATCCATCTGGAAAACCCATGGAGATCCAATGAAAATTTTTTCCCTGCCATAGTTCTATGTGTCTGGACTTTGCTATAAGTCAGCGAAAACCGTTTCTCGATGTCTCTTCACATTGCCGAGTTATTCAAAGAGGCGTTGGGTGTCTTATTTTTTGAATCCGATAATAGTCGTGTTGCATGAGAAAACTAAAAAAGTAAACGCCGCTCAGATTGAGCTGAAGCCCCGGTTTTAAGGGCTTTTGATAGCACTCTTTCCAATGGTATTGCCAAAGAGTAGTAGCTCTATCGGATATAGAGTTTCTAGAAATCTCTGGTTTTTGAATAATGTCGTATGAAAGAAAATATTTTCTGATTAAATCTGAAGAGATGAAATAAAATTCTACAGAATTTATTGAATATGCTTCCAAGTTCCCTACGTATCTGTTCATTTTTTAGGGTTGCATAAGTGAACAAAATTTGTCATTTGTTTTTACGTCAACTTGTTCACTCGATTACTTCCTCGTATTTATTCGAATGGCATTTGTGAGAAGTGAAACATTTCAGACAGCTTTGCTGTCATTGTGTAAAAAGACAGGCAGCAAACTGGCACAAACATTATTGAACATGAAAGC